AAAACTGACTTTAAACCAACAAAGATTAAAAAAAAGAAGGGCATTATATAGTACATGGTTCAATTCAATAAGACCTAATTATCCTAACTATACCTGCATCCAATACAGAAGCATCCAAATTCATAAAGCAAGTTCTTAGAGACCTAGGAAGAGACTTAGATCCCCATACAATAATAATGGGAAATTTCAACATCCCATTGACAGCATTAGACAAATCACTGAAGCAGAAAATTAACACAGATATTCAGGACCTGAACTCAACACTTCACCAAATGAACCTCATAGACATCTACAAAACTCTCTACCCCTAAACAATAGAATATACATTCTTCTCATCACCACATGGCACATACTCCAAAATCAACCACATGATCAGACATAAAACAATCCTTAGCAAATTCAAAAAAAAATTGAAACCATACCAACCACACTCTCAGACCACAGCACAATAAAAATAGAAATAAATATAAGGAAAATCACTCAAAATCATAAAACTACATGGAAGTTAAACAACCTACTCCTGAATGACCTACCCCTTCCTTACACCACATATGAAATTAAGTCAAGATGGATTAAATACTTAAATGTAAATCTAAAAACTATAAAAACCCTGGAAGATAACCTAATTCTGGACATAGAACTTGGCAAAGATTTCATGATGAAGATGCCAAAAGCAATTGCAACAAAACCAAAAATTGACAAACAGGATCTAATTAAAGTTAAGAGCATCTGCAGAGCAAAAGAAACTCAACGGAGTAAACAGACAACCTACAAACAGAATGGAAAAAATATCTGCAAACTAAGCATCTGACATAGGTTTCATATCCTACACCTGTAAGGAACATAGACAATTTTACAAGCAAAAACTAACCCCGCTAAAAAGTGAGGAAAGGACATGAACAGACATTTTTCAAAAGAAGACATATATACAGCCAATAAGCATATGAGAAAATGCTTATGAGAAAATGCATATGAGAAAATCGCTAGTCATTAGAGAAAAGCAAATCCAAATCGCAATGAGATACCATCTCACACTAGTCAGACGGCCTATTAAAAAGTCAAAAAAAAAAAAAAAAAAGAAAGAAAAAAGAAAAAAGAAAAAAGCATATGCTGGTGAGGTTGTGGAGAAAAGGGAATGCTTATACAGTGCAAATTGGGACTGCGAATTAGTTCAGCCACTATGGAAAGCAGTTTGGTGATTTCTCAAAGAGCTAAAAGCAGAACTACCATTCAATCCAGCAATCCTATTATTGGATATATACCCAAAGGAATATAAATCATTCTACCATAAAGATACATGCATGCAAATGTTCATTGCTACACTGTTCACAATAGCAAAGACATGAAATTAACCTAAATGACCATCAATGCTAGACTAGATAAAGAAAATGTGGTACATATACACCATGGAACACTATGCAGCCATAAAAGAGAATGAGATCATGTCCTTTGCAGGGACATGGATGGAGCTGGAGGCGATTATCCTAACTGACATAGGAATAGAAAACCAAATACTGCATGTTCTTGCTTACAAGTGGGAGATCAACAAGGAGAACACATGGATACTAGGAGGGGAACAACACACACTGGGGTCTATGGGAGAGTGGAGGGTGGGAGGGGGAGAGGATCAGAAAAAAATATCTCTTGAGTACTGTGCTTATTACCTGGGTGATGAAATTATCTGTACGTCAAAGCTCTGTGACACGCAGGTGACCTATTAATATATAACAAACCTGTACATGTACCCCCAACCTGAAATGAAAGTTTAAAACACACACACAAAACAAAACAAACAAAAAACTCCCCACTACTGTTGTGATAAGAACAGAGTGGCGAACAAAGTGGACTCAAATAGCACTGCCCTCACGGAGTTTAGGTTCCAATGAGGACAGTCAGACAATGAATACAGCCCTGCCCTCACAGAGCTTAGATTCCAACGAGGACAGTCAGACAATGAATATAGCACTGCCCTCATGGAGCTTAGGTTCCAAAGAGGACAGTCAGACAATGAATACAGCACTGCCCTCACGGAGCTTAGGTTCCAAAGAGGACAGTCAGACAATGAATACAGCACTGCCCTCACGGAGCTTAGGTTCCAATGATGACAGTCAGAAAATGAATACAGCACTGCCCTCATGGAGCTTAGGTTCCAAAGAGGACAGTCAGACAATGAATACAGCACTGCCCTCATGGAGCTTAGGTTCCAATGAGACAGTCAGACAATGAATACAGCACTGCCCTCATGGAGCTTAGGTTTCAAGGAGGACAGTCAGACAACGAATAGAGCCCTGCCCTCATGGAGCTTAGGTTTCAAGGAGGACAGTCAGACAACGAATAGAGCCCTGCCCTAACAGAGCTTACATTCCAACATTCCAACGAGGACAGTCAGACAATGAATACAGCTCCACCCTCACGGAGCTTACATTCCAATGAGGACAGTCAGACAATGAATACAGCACTGCCCTCACAGAGCTTAGGTTTCAAGGAGGACAGTCAGACAATGAATACAGCCCTGCCCTCACGGAGTTTACATTCAACGAGGACTGTCAGACAATGAATACAGCCTGTCTCACCAGACTTACATTCCAACGAGGACAGTCAGACAATGAATGCAGCACTACCCTCACAGACTTACATTCCAACGAGGACAGTCAGACAATGAATACAGCACTACCCTCACGGAGCTTACATTCCAACGAGGACAGTCAGACAATGAATACAGCACTGCCCGGACAGTCAGACAATGAATACAGCACTGCCCTCACAGAGCTTAGGTTCCAAGGAGGACAGTCAGACGATGAATACAATAAACAAAAATATATAGTGTATCTGTGAATACATAAACATACGCTATGTATGACATATATGCATATATAAACAGAAGTTCAGCAGGGATGGGGAAGGCAGTGCTGTGGGTGTCTGTGAAGATTTTGCTCATGCTGCTCAGGAAAGGCCTTGGGGAGAAGATGAGGTGAGGGAGCCGTGCAGGCATCTAGGGAAAGAAATTTAAAGGTAGAGGGAGGGGAGGGGATGCCTGTACTGTTACAGGAGCGGCCAAGACTTCCGCGTGACCAGAGTGGAGGGAACCAGAGGGGCTGTGCCTAGCATGAGGTCAGCGTTACAGCAGGTGTGGCTGCAAAGGTTTGATTCTGTCTCTGTAAACACTTTGGCTTTTCCTTTGAGGAGGGGAAGCCAGTGCATTTTTTTTTTCATAAAAAAGTATTGATCCATAATAAATATACATATTTTGGGGTCCACGTGGCCATTTAATACATTCATACAATTTGTAAAGATCAAATCAGTGTAACTAAAATAACCTCCACCTAAGGTATTTGTTGTTTCTTTATGCTAGGAACGTTTGTATTATTCTCTAGCTATTTTGAAATATGTAATAGATTGTTGTAAACTGTCGTCACCCAACTGATCTATCTAACATGAGGTTAGATAGATCTCTAACCTCATGATTAGACTGATTTCTTCTATCAAACTGCACATCCGTGTCCACTCATCAGCCTGGAGGTCATCATGTGTGAGAAGTGGGAGGGGCCAAGCAGAGGGGTGACATGATCAGATCGCCTGTGGCCGCCCTAGCTGTGGCACTAAAGAGGGGTTATGGGAGAGGAGGCAAGCATGGGACCTAGGACACCAGCCAGGTGGTCAATGCTTTGATTGAGGTGACTGTTTCTGGGATCGGGATGGTGGCAGGACCTGTGGAGGAGGATTGGATCCTGGCTATCCTTGGAAGGCAATGCCAACAGGATTTGCTAAAGGCTTGGATGTACAGAGAGGGGAGAAATGTAAGATGAGCCTAGATATTGGCTGGAGCCAGTCAAAGAAGTTGCCCTGTGCTGATGTGAAGAAGATTCTGGAATGAGTAGGCAGGAGTGCTGTATGATGTCATGTGTTCCTGCTGCCCTGTTGCTTTCTGACATCTCTGCCTTCTCTCTAAAACCTTAAGGATGGGGCTTGTCCATCTCATTTGTGCGGTCCTAGAGTCTTGAACAGTATCTAGCACTTAGTGGGGATTAGATTCGCATTTGTTGACTGTGTTTTAAGTGAGCAAAAATGCTCCATGAAGATTTGCTTCAGAGCAGAGTGGTTACACCGGTTCCTGTCTGGGTATTGTCCTGTGCTCCAGCCCTGGCTGGGACTCATGCGGAAGGAGTCTCTCGGAGCCTCGTGAAGCCCTTCTCATTGTCCTGGGCTTTTGTTGGCAGCCTCCTCCTTCAAGGAGGTGCCTCTGCATCTGTCACTGCAGCCCTGGCTCTGGAGTGGGTGGTGGCAGCCTGAGGAACCCATTTACCTCCCGCAGGCTGGAAGTGTTCTATGAGGTTCCTGGCAGAGCAAGACTCCATCTCCTCGGCCTCCTCCATCCATCTCCCAGTGTGCCTTTGTTTTGAATCATTTTTGCACTCAATTTAAGAGGCCGAGACGAAGGAAGGAGGGGTGAGCACTGTTCATCCACATCCCTAGCTACGTGGAATTTTGTGGGCTGAGGAGAGGAATAGAGAACGATTTCCTCTTTCTCCCTTGGCCAGTATGGTAAATCAAAGCTGGGAGTAGTTGTATACCTTATACCACTATTGATTTCACACAAATGCTGTGTGCTATAGAATCATCCCGGAGTGTGTGGCCACACACCCATCCATCTAGGCTCTGGGGCTCCCTCCCCTCTTCTCCCTGGCCTGGGGTGGGTGGAGGGTAAGCTGGTCCCTGCCTCCCGCCGCAATCTCCCTGGGGATCTGGGAAGAGGCCAAGGGCATTCGGCAAACACAGAGTGTCAAAGGACAGCCTCCCAGACTCGGAGTCATCAGCCAGAGCAGTTTTTCATTCTGTCCAATATTTGTGCCAGGGAGAGTCTCCTGATTTAAGTGACAGGATAACCAGAATGGGATGGGAGCGATCCTGTGGGACCCAGAGGTCCCAGAGGTCCCAAGCTGGTCCAGGAGCACAGAAGCTGACATGACAGCAGGTTTCTGCAGGGGTGGGGAGGTGTCAACTTGCCTTAATCACGTCTTCATCAGACGATCTACACTCCACAGACTCCACCAGCTCTGTCACTGTGCCGTCGTCCTCCACGGAGACCACTTTCACCGGGACGGCCACCGTCTTCCCCGTGAGGATGGCTGTGTTCAGAATTTCTGCCTCCTGGAAGACCAAACACACCCTTCCATCACATCCCCTCCTGAGATGGCCCAGCCCCCGGGAGTACGCCGCCTGCCTTTCCTCAGCCGCCCTGCAAACACCACTGGCCTCTTCTGCAGGCTCAGAAATCCCGGCGGGCAGCACCCACTGGGTGACCGTGGCAGCCAAGGGATCATGTTCTGTCCTCACCCAGATTCCTGCAGGGCAACTATGATGGCGAAGGGGTGGAGGATAGAAAAAGTGGTGGAGAAAATTTATTACTAATATTGTGTTTGGCGAACAATTATGTGTCAGACGCCTTTGTAAGTGCTTTAAAAATATTGGCTCATCAATCCTCATAGCATCCTGATACGACAAACATTCTTCTTCCTCCCAGTTTACAGATGGCACAGAGAGGTTCTGTGACTTGCCCAGGGACACCCAGGTAGAAATCAATGAAGGCAGGATTTGAAACTGGGAAGTCCAGCTCCCGAGTCCATGCATCAGCTAACTCAAACAGGTCTAAACATGGACACGACGATGGTGGCTTCAGCAGCCGATGGATGGCTAGAGGGGCCTGGTGTTGTGCAAGAAGCTTAGATGAGCAGCACTGCACCGCCAGTGTGTGGCATGTGGGGGAGACAAAGGCAGGGAGAGAGCCCTCACTCTCTGTGCTCTCTTGCTCTGGCTTTCTTTCACTGTGTTTCAATTTTCCAGGCTTTTATTGGGTCCTGGCCTCCAGACGTGTCTGGAATGTTATTGTGGCTCCAGCAGCACTCCCACATCCCCACTGATGTGATCCACGCTGCACCACACACATCCACATTCACCCCAACATGCATTTTGCTGCAAACTCTTTCATAGAGCAGCTCAAGACGTGTGTCTTTAGGGGTGTCCCAGCTTGCCCCGAGTATCTGCTTTCAGAATGAAGAATGCCCTGAACTTTTCCCCTTGGTAGCACCTAACAGTTGCTGTTTTACTTCTAGTTATTTAATCCCTTTATCTCTCTTCCAGACTCTAAGCTCCATGGGGTGTATCTGCTTTCTGCTCACCAGCACCTAGCACAGAGCTTAGCTACAATGAACGGTGTTAATATTTGTTGAGTGCATAAATAGGACTCAACAGGGAAAGGACTGGGATTCGCATCCTCACCTTCTTGCTCCCCAGCTCCTCACACTCTATGCACGAATCCCTTTTTTTCAGGCACACCTAGGCCTCGGTGGTGCTTCCCAGACATGGAGCATCTCTGGATCTCATGACACCCTGCATCTTTCTCTCCAGTGTACCCATGCTCATCCTCAGTTACTCTTCTAGAATTCTTGTGATTTTTTTAATTGGTGGGGGCCTGAGAGATCATAGGAGCCCATTTTTTAGATAAAGAAACTGAGCCTCAAGACCTGGTAAGTGAATCTCATTCTTCTCTGCAGAGATTGCATTTTCTATCACAAAAACGTAGAAGTCCCAATATAAACACACATCTCTGTATAATACAGCTTCCAAGTCCTAGTGCACGATGTTCTTTGCTCAGTTTCAGCTCATCACATGCCAGGAGTGTCCCTAAGAGGTGTTTTATCAACATGCCACATTGCATTTCTTCTGTTAACTCTGGATGTACCTGTCTTTTCCTTGACAGAATAACAGCAAAAGGTCTGGGTGGGTGCTAGGAGCTGGTTAGGGTGGATCTAACACAACTGTCATTTTACTTTCACTCATAGTTATTCGATCGCTTTATTTTCCTTCTAAGACTGCGAGCTCAGTAGGGCTGTATCCATGTCATTTTGAGAGATGAGCTTGCAAAGATTCTCGTTACTTTGATTTTCATGTGGAATGTAAAATGCCTGTTAGTAGAATGCCAGCAGAAGGAATAGAAGTTTATCATCCTAAAATTACGTAACTATTTTCCTTATGTTAACTATTTCTTAGATAAGATCTTATTTTTTCTTTATGGGATGAGATTTGTCTATAACCAGCTCACTGGGGTTAGGCTTTGGATGTAGCAATACATATACTGTTCATTATTTTAATTCTAACAGACAAGACTCCAATTTGGAATGCTCCCAAATTTCAGAGACCATGCTTTAAACTGTTGGAATATGCATAGGCCTTCAAAGTCCCATCATCCATACACTTTTTCTCCTCTATGGGTTCCCAGCCTGATTTTATTTTAATTCGAATAAAAACATAGCACAAAAATGAAGAGGCAAAATCAGTATATGATGCCATTTCCTGCTGCTCCAGGCAGGAAAAATTAGCTTTAATGGCAAAAATCACCATTACTTTTGCACCAACCTAATACTTTTTTTCTACTATAAAGGGTGAGGATCAAAAGGAACAAGTAGTACTCTGGGAAAAAGTGGAACAATGCTGTTTAACTTTCTGGCCAAAACTGGCTCATCACAAAAGAGAGAGACAGACAAGGGAGCAGTGTGGCCACTTCTGACATCAGTCTCGGGGAACACAATTTCTCACATTCGTGGTAAAAAGTGAAGAGCATCTCTACTCCAATGATAAAATCCAAAGGCCTTTCATGTTTTTGCACATTCAGGTTAATATAATGACAAATGACGCTGGGAGTGACTGATGAGCAGCTGCAAGCCCATATGTCTGGGGTGTTGCCTTTTTCTCTGAATAGCATATGTCTTTCTGCCCACAAAGATCTCAGTGGGGCTGAGTGACTGGGCCTTCAGGCTTGGTATTTCCCTGCCTCCTCTGTGTATTTCCAATTCTTTGACGTCAAGAATTTTCTCTTTTGCACAGCTTTGCTTTTTCCAGGAGGCGAATGGTACGGGGATGACTCACAAAAGTCTTTAATTTAGATAAGAGGAGGACGAAGGAGATCCTTGTTCAGGGGCAGAAGTACCTGTAAAGCCTTAGCTTTGCTTGAGATATGACCTATAACTGCTCAAGTTTTGGACCCCAGAAATGCTTGAAAGCTCAGTTTCCTTATTGCTGTGTGTTCACCTTATCACAGCACCTCAGAGCCTAGGAAACAAAGGCACAGACTCTCTTTAGAAAACATATCTCCTTCCCATCAGCCAATCATAATCCTTATTGTCACTTCATACACCCTTTCTGCTACTTGGGCATTATCTGTGTGCCAGTAAGGATCTCTGACAAAGCACTACAGAACTTTTGGCACTCCACAGTCGAGGAGGAGGTAGAATAGCAGAGAATAGACTGGATATGGCACTGAGAAAGGTATAACCATTAAAGTGAGGTTTCAGATATTTTTCCTGGGGGCTGACTCACAGTCATCCATTATAAGGAAACAATAACAATCCCTGTCTTGCTGGAGAAATAATGACCCATGTCTTAGTTTGAGCCAGCCTGGAAATAGATCCTGGGACAAAGATTCAAGAGAAATTTATCTAGGACATTCAGGAAACTTCAATAGGAGAGTGTGCAGGTGACACAGGGAAAAGGAGGCTACTAACAAGTTGTGTAGATTAAACCAGTTACCACAGTGGGCACCTGGAGCTGATCCTGCAGAGGATGATGAAATATATTGTATATTCTGTGTGTGTCTTAGTCCATTTGTATTGCTATAAGGAAATACCAGGCTGGGTGCAGTGGCTCACACCTGTAATCCCAGCCCTTTGGGAGGCTGGGGCAGGTGGATCACTTGAACCCAGGAGTTCGAGACCAGCCTGGGCAATACGGTGAGACTCTGTCTCCACAAACAAATAGAAAAAAGTTTATGCAGCTGTGGTGGTACATGTCTATAGTCCCAGCTACTTGAATGGCTGAGGTGGAAGGATCACCTGAGCCCAGTGAGGTCAAGGTTGCCGTGAGTCATGGTTGTGCCACTGCACTATAGCCTGGGCAACAGAGCAAGGCCTTCTCTCAAAACAAACAAACAACAAACCAACCCAAACAAAAAAACCTAGAGAGGCTGGGTATTTATAAGAAAAAACGGTTTGTTTGGTTCATGATTCTGCTGGCTGGAAGATTGGGCATCCGGAGAAAGCCTTGTGGAGGAGGGCGAAGGGAGCAGGAATATGCAGAGATCACTCAGCAGTAGAGGAAGCAAGGGAGAAGAACAGCGGAAGTGCCAGGCTCTTAACAACACTGAGAACTCCATCGCTGCCCCACGCCCACTGCAACCAGAGAGGGACTTTACCTACTCATGAGGGACTCATTCCCATGGCCCAAATACCTCCCATGGCCCTACCTCCAACACTGGGGATCACATTTCAACATGAGGTTTGTGGGAACAGACATTCCAACCATAGCAGTGTGTAAATGTGTATGTATTTCAATGGATTGAAATATATTATGATGTATTTCCCCGCAAGGAAATTCTCTAGAATATATACCTAAGAATAATTTCATTGAGGGCTGAGGGAGCTGGGGTATTTATACACCAAATCCTGAGTGCTGCTCCTAAACAGACCACTGCTTAGCACTTCCAGGGCACTGCATGTGCAGACAAAACAGACTTCTACTGTTTCAAAGGAAGCTCCCGATGGAGGGTGGCACTTGGACCTGGTCAGGAGCTCACTGCTGTGCTAGGGTACAAGGGAAATATGTAGGGCCCTGACCGAGTCTGCTACATCACTAAAGTAATCTGTCGTGCGGTGGTCTGATGCATTGGAACTAGATATAGAGTGTTTCTTTATTTTGATTTTTGTTTTTTAAATTTCCTCATGTTTCCAGTATCCTGATTTTATGCTTCAAGTATCAGCATAGTCATTTATTCACGTTTACCTTTGAAAATTAATTTTAAAACAGAGATGAGGAAAATAATGGATAGAGAAAAACATTGCACAAGAGAAGTTTTAAAACACTTTAAGAGATTGATCTCTGTGTTAGACAGTTTGTTGCCCATTCGATGCCTGTTTTCCCCTTTTTTCCTAACAAAACCCCGATTTCATTTGTGGCTGTAACATGCCTAAACAAAATGACTATAGTTTTTGGCTGCCCTTAATCTGTGGCACGTTTCTGGCCCAGAAGATATCAATAAAAGTCATTTAGTGAGACTTCCAGAAAATTTTGTGAAAAAAAAAAACTCAAAAGAAGACAGA